AGAGACATGAAGATAGAAGTGTTTGATGTCTTTTTAAGTGAATTGGAAAGACTTGTCAATTTAAAATCTTTTCATTTGAACCCCTTTAATTATGACTGATATTGCAATATCTGTTGTCATATTTATTATAAATTGTTAAGTACAAATATTTAACAGTGCAATTAGGACATTTCTACAGATATTTTATTGCCATAGAATTTGCCGGGAGCTTATTCAATCATTAATTGAAAAATTAAGATTTATTAGACAATTTAAGCTGGAAAACTGAAATTTTCATGGGTACTTCTACTAATAATAAATGCTCTAATCCAATACCAGCCATGGCTCTTATGTCTTCTGATCTTAATTGGTTGGCAGTCTTAACATTTACATGTAATGTCTTTGCGAATTAAGATGGGCTATAGTCAATATCCCATTCAGTATGACAGATTTCCTTGTCATTTGTTGTCTAACTTTAACTAGTTGGGCATATTGTTTAATGACTGATGCACTGGGCATTTCTGACAATGCACTGTAGTAGTGGTGGAACACTGAGAGGGACTTTTTTTAAGGTAGAAGGATATATAAACATTAAAAAACCATTTTAGGAATCGCATCTAGATACTTGGTAATGCCTCAAATTAGAGATTAAGTTGTCTGAATTACTCAAGCTGAAAGTATTTCTAACCCTAGCCCACCTGCATGGTTATGAACTGCTTTTATCAAAACCTGTCACCATATTGTGCATATCTGTTGGTGATCCATGATCCTGATATACTGTCATCATGATCGGTATATAGGACAATGCATATTTATACCTGGCATTACTTTTTTGGAATATTGCTCTCTCACTCATTATTATTATTAATAATAATAATAATAATAAGAAAAATAATAATAATAAGGAGAAAAATAATAATAATAAAAATAATAAAAAGAATAATAAGAATAATAAGAATAATAAAAAAAATAAGAAGAATAAGAAAAAAAATAAGAATAAGAATAATAAGAATAAGAATAAGAAAAAAATAATAATAAGAAGAATAAAAATAATAATAAGAAGAATAAAAAATAATAATAAGAAGAATAAAAATAATAATAACAAAGAATAAAAATAATAATAAGAAGAAGAAAAAAAATAATAATAAGAAGAAGAAAAAAAAAATAAGAAGAATAAGATTCAAAGAATAAAAAAATAATAATAATAAGAAGAATAAAAATAATAAGAAAAAGAATAAAAAATAAAAATAAGAAGAATAAGAATAATTAATAAGAATAAGAAGAATAAGAATAAGAAGAAGAATAAGAAGAATAAGAAAAGAATAAGAAGAATAAGAATAAGAAGAAGATTTAATAATAAGAATAAGAAGAATAAGAATAATAAGAATAAGAATAATAATAATAATAAGAATAAGAAGAAGAATAAGAAGAAGAATAATAATAAGAAGAAGAAGAAGAATAATAAGAAGAATAATAAGAAGAATAATAAGAAGAATAATAATAATAATAAGAAGAAGAATAAGAATAATAATAAGAAGAATAAGAATAAGAAAAGAAGAAGAAGAAGAAGAAGAATAAGAAGAAGAATAAGAAGAAGAAGAAAATAAGAAGAAGAAGAAGAAGAATAATAAGAAGAAGAATAAGAAGAAGAAAAGAAGAAGAAAAAAAGAAGAAGAAAGAAGAATAAGAAGAAGAAGAAGAAGAAGAAGAAGAAAGAAAAGAAGAATAAGAAGAAGAAGAATAAGAAGAAGAAGAAGAAGAAGAATAAGAATAATAAGAAGAAGAAGAAGAAGAAGAAGAAGAAAATAAGAATAAGAATAATAAGAAGAAGAAGAAGAATAAGAAGAAAAAGAATAAGATGAATAAGAATAAGAAGAATAAGAAAAAGAATAAGAATAAGAAGAATAAGAAGAAGAATAATAAGAATAAGAAGAAGAAGAAGAAGAATAATAAGAAGAAGAATAAGAATAAGAAGAAGAAGAATAAGAAGAAGAATAAGAATAAGAAGAATAAGAAGAAGAAGAAAAATAAGAAGAATAAGAATAAGAAGAAGAAGAAGAAGAAGAATAAGAATAAGAATAAGAATAATAAGAATAAGAAGAATAAGAATAAGAAGAATAAGAAGAATAAGAAGAATAAGAAGAATAAGAATAATAAGAAGACTAAGAAGAAGAATAAGAAGAAGAATATAAATAAGAAGACTAAGAAGAAGAAAAATGAGAAAAAGAAGAAGAATAAGCAGCAGCAGCAGCCATGGTAATACAGAGATAGAAATGGCCATGGAAAAGTCAGATATTGTAAGAAGCCAAATCTCAGCCAAAGTCAGCTGACAAAGGCTGGGTGATTCAGGGTTTTGCCAAAAACTTTACATGAGACATCATTGTGAATGTGGTGGTTAAACAATATTCTGGTTCACTCACTGATATCTCATTGCTAAAAAGTGTGTGCTGCCCAGTGCAGTCCTTGTGTTTGGCTCCCACAAGAAATACATATTGCACAGTGACTCAATCTTAATGTTATAAAACTAGTTTGTGTACCATTATAACATTACTTTCACATACTCAAATATAGTATGCTTTAAAAACACATCATACATCTGTAAACTTTGTCAGTAACAGTTAAAATCAAAAATGACATATAGGGCAAAAAAGTGTAAAAAATTAGGAACATCTTTATTTCTGAAATGAAAATTACAACTTTTCTACAAAGTAAATTTTCTTGGTTCTTCAATGACATCATCAAAAAATATTTCATCTGTCAATTGTCACTCTGTAGACAGCAAATAGGCCAATATATCATTTAAGTTACTCAAAATCAAAAAGATCCTTCAATTGTGAGTACTGTTCAGACATTAAAACACCTTTTATTCCAATACAGCTTATACAGGCATATACTGTACAACAGACACAAAAGTCCTGACACCATAAAAATGCTGCCCACGGTGGACTGTCCCACCTGCAACCCCACCTCTAACTAGGCCACTGATCTTTGCATATTCACAATAAGGTTCTCTTTGACTGATAACCAACTTACATCAAGTCTAAGTTATGTGCTATGTGTGATGCACGTTTAGGCGATCATGTATGTTTTGATACATGACTGAATGATTTTTTTCCCATAGTAGGTTGCCATTTCTTTCTGCAGTAGACCAGTTGCCATCCAAGTCTATAGAATCTGATCTGTCTTGCTATTTACCCATAGAGAAAGAAGAAAAGTATTCATACCTTTATTCACGTAAGTGAATGTAATGGATTTAACTGGAATTTAAACTCAGCTCTCCAATTCCTCAATCCAAGATTCTATCCATTACTCCACTGTGCCTCCTCATCAAGTCTACACATCCAATACATAAAATATTCAAAATGAGTGGATCCTTTCCAGACAGACCTTATATCTTTACAACATCAATCCATACAAATTTATAATAGATAGGCTTTTACTTTCGAATTTATAGAAGTCTGGAACTTGTAGTTCAAATGAAATGATAGCATCAAAAAAAAAATTTGTTTTGATCAAAAAGATGTAAAATAGATTATCTTACAGAAACATCTGTGTTAGTTGACGTAAGTACTGAATGATGCTTGTTTTGCTTGGTTTTAGAGCTAGCATTAATTTATTCCTTTCTTATTGGCTTTATAATCATGAATATGCATTGCCTTAATTTGTGTTGGACAATCATAACTTTCTGATGGACAGACAGATGATTGAAGAAAATCATTTAATTAATATGTCTGCAAGTGCAGCATGAGAGTTGTAGCAAGTCATCTGTCTTCTGATGAATAAGCAACCATTCACACATTTTTACTTATTATTTCATAGGGAATTAGAAAAGAACTAAAACTTATGTGATTCCAAATACACTGACTAAGCGAATATTTAAGGGGAAATATAAAGAACTAATTGTTTTTCTTAACATATAAAATAACATCATATGATTTATCATCCAGAATAAAATTTTCATTCATTTTGATGATTATGTAGATTTCTTTTAATTTGTTTTTCAATGCCATGTCCCTTCAGAACATCTACAGATTACATTTCTTTATTATTTTTTTTCTTTCTTATTCTTTGAAATTATTTTTTTCTTTCTTATTCTTTGAAATTATTAAAAAAATAAGGAATATTTTTTAATAATTTCACCCCAAGCAAGAGATATATGTAGGGGGTTACAGGGAGTAAAACTGAAAGAGAAGACTGAGTATAGGGAGGATTGAGGAAAGGACAAAAGATAAACAAGATTCAAGAAGACAGAAGATGGCAATTGATGTTGCATTTAAATTTTTGAAATTTCTAATTATCAGGGAAGCAAGTAAATGGAAGGGAGTTCCACCAGTATGAAGTGTGAGAAAAGAAACTGTTGGAGTAGAAATGTTGGTTGTATTTTACTATTTCAACGGTAAAAGGGTGAGAGCAAGCTTAAATTCATGTAGTCAGGGCACTAAGAAATAAAGCTTGTCAGAACAGTTGCCATAAAAATATTTGTAGAAAATGCAGAGGGAAGCCACATAATCTTGGTGAGAAAGTGACTGAAGTCAAAATGCCTGAGCTGGAACAGGGTGAAGCTAGATTCATGTTTTTCCCAAGACTATTAATGTAAAGTGAACACAAATTGACGCAGGCAGTATTTGAGGTAAGTTTACCGATTCCATTTTCTCTGCTATTAAAACTTACTTCAGTTGGTACAAAAACTCAACAAGTACAAACATATTAGAATAATAATAATGACACTACTAGTGATTAATTGATTGATTTGTTTTTGATGGCTTATCAAACGTTTGCAGGTTATTCAAAGCCAGAAAATATTTTTAGATTGTAAGAATTTTTGTTTTTTGGAGATAATAACGGTTTAGTGATACAAGTCTTATTAATTAACCCATAGATGGGGTGGTGGTAGGTGGATTCATTCCTTTCCTAAGGTTATTTATGCATAAGTAAATATAACAAACCCAACTGGAATTGGAACTCAGCTCTCCAATTAATAATTACAAGCCATTTTCTATTATGTCATCAGTGCATCTAAGCTTACAGCACCTGGTATTCCCAAGCAGTCACCCATTTAGGTGCTGACCTGACTGTATGTTGCTTAATTTCAGTGATCATATTGGAACTGGTGTTTCAACATGATGTGACCATAAGTAAACATGACTATTACTACTAGTACTAATAATAAATGTCCTGATGCAACATCAGGTATGCCTTCTTAAGAAAGACAGTAGTATGGTTCCCCATTGGCTTATCCATGTGTTTGAATTCAAATTTGCTCTTCATCTAGACTGGCTACCACCTAATACTAGAGTACCTGATCTACCCTATTATTTTATCTCATAGCTGGTAGGTGAAGAGATTTTTTTTATTTTTCCCAAAAGCGTTTGTGCAAAAATGAATGTAACTTGAATTCAGCTCATCCAAAAACACTTTCAATGTTGATGGCTGCTATATTATCTGCACATTAAATATAAAAACATATGTATAAAGCATTTATCATATGAATAGATATCTTAAGTATAACTGAAAGTAACTGATCGTTTATTACTCGTCCTTATTCATCAGAAAAAAAACCCAAAAAACTATGCAAAATATCTAGCTCAGAGGTATACAGAGATGACAGAAAGGTATATTTTGTCCTCTATCCAGAAGAAGAAATTGTACTAGCCAACTTTCTTTAAATGCTTGTTTTGATGCAAGAAGGTGAAGGTGCTTTATAGGTCTAGGAATTAAAAAAAATTGTTTGAGTGACACTTTTTCTTAAAAGTGAAATTTGATGATTTACTCACTAATTTTTTTACCTAAAATTTTTTTGGGGGCTAGTTTTATTAATCAGTCTGTTTACATCAAACATCAAGTAGAAAAAGACTTTCAGCTTTCAAGTATTATAACAAAAATTACTGAGAAAATAAGGTAATTAAATCTATAATAAACAATAAGAAGAAGGCTGAACTTAGAAGCCAAGAAGAAAGTGCTTTTAAAGAAAAAAAAGTACTTTTATTATCATTATTATATTTCCTGTTGTCTCTAAGTTAATTCTGCTACTGAGGAACTATTAATTTAAACAGTTTAATACTGACTTGATGTGAACATAGCAATCATTTGCAGAGAAAGTGGAGTTAACAAGTGGAGTTTGAATTATAGCTGATTCACATTTTTTTAAAAAATTATTTCAACCCAAGAAAGGTGATAATGCCACTAATAAAGAGTTACTGGGAGTAGAAGAGAATGAGAAGACTTTAGTAAAGAGAAATGACTATAAAACAACAGGTAACAGGAAGACAAGGTAGTGATTGACATTGCATTTAAATTTTTTGAAGATGGTAGATAGCATAGAGGCAAGAAATCAGAAGAGTTCCCTAGGTGAGAAATGTGAGAAAAGAAACTATTAGAATCAAACTTACAGTTACATCTAGTTATTTTAGCATGATGGGACCTAACTGCTAATCTAGTAGTATGCTTAAATTCATGTGGTTGAAGTACCAAGGAGCAGAACTCATTAGAACAACTGCCATGAAAAAATACCCTTGGGAAAGATGATGATTCATCTCTTCTCCCCCACCCACAAAGGCTAAACTAGCTGCACAGACTAGGTTCTAAAGCCTTGAGTGGCAACAATTGTAAGAGAATGAAAACATAATTCTAAAACCATGGAGAAGGCAATAGGAAAGCATTACATTATTGATGGTAATTCACAGATAATAAAGAAAAGGAAATTGTGGAGAGCCATGATCATTTATCTACATCTTGAACGAATACACCATTAAAAATTGAGGAGCCTTTCTTGGAATTTTTCAGTATTAACAATAAAAAGATATCTCTGATATTACACATTCCTAACTCCAAATTTATCATCAACTATCAAAATGACTTAAAACCATATTACTATAAAAGTCAAAAATCAACCTGAAAACTTTAATCCTATTCGTAAATAGCTTCATCAGACTGAGGTATTCATATGGATGTCATGCATGACACAAAACACATTCAGAAATATCTAAACTCTCAACCAAGACCAATGGTTAAAAAATGTTTAAGTGAGAGAAACCTGAGGGTCTTGTTGAAGATCATTCTTCTTTGAAGCTTGTAGACTTAGATTCACAAACAAAGGACTGTACCAAATAACAGAAACCATATCACTTGAGGACTAGCAACAGCTAAAATGGATACCACATGTAACTTGGAGAGAAAATAATAATACAATCAAGATATTGATATTCCACACTACTTCAAATAAATTGTTAAGAAGGAAAGCCTGATTTATACTAGAAAGAGTGATAAAACTTGAAAAACCTATTTTTCAGAAAAATTGCTTTAAAATTGTTTTAAGTATTGGATTCAGAGTTAATGGATGTCAAAGCTTTCCCTGTAGGGCTAATATAAACATTACCATATGATAAAGATGCTTGAATGCAAAATATCTTCCTTGCTTCTGCAATTTCTATTCTGAGACAAGATATGAATTCTTCGATTTGAACTTGAATAACTTTTCTTTCTGTAGTGAAGGAATGGGAGGTACTGAATAATTTATATTTGTTTTTCTTTTTTTTTCATCAAGCATAAATATAATCAACTTTAATATGATTTCACCATATTCCCTTCATGTCACCAAGTGCTGAAAACATTTGAGCAAAGATCAAATGTCAGAGATTTCTGGATTACTGTTGATTTGAAGATTTGGATTAGATTTACATATTAAACCAAGAGTTAAAAAATGTCAGAAAATGCTTCTTTTTTTAAAAAGTTTTTTCATTAATAATGAAACCAGTGCCCATATCATCTCAATTTATAATTTTCATCACATTCAAATGGAAAACTGATGAGAAAAATCTATTGAAATAATTCATTTAACTTCATGCACTCAGAGAAAAAAAATTGCCTCTGTTTATAAAAACAAGATTTCAGAAATGAAGAAGTATATTTCTTTTTTAAACCAACTATACCTACAGGACATAGGTTATTATGGCTATCCCCAGCTTCTTTATTATTTGTAAATTAACATGTCTTTTTGATAGTTGAGTGGTTTCCTGTTGCCTTCACTATGGTTTGGAATTCAAAGTTTTTCCTCTTCTTAAACTTACACAGACGCCGGAGAGAAAAGAGACAGATTCATGCCTTTCTGAAGGGCATTTGTGCCAAAGGGAACACAAATGATGAGGCCAGAATTTGAGCATTCCCTGTTGATTGGTAACCATTACACTATCAGTAAACCCCTTTTCTTGTTTATAACTATTCTATATATAAGAGGGGGTGCTAAAAAGTTCTTGGCCTGACCACAAAAAAATGACCTAGAGACATGGACCATAACACTATTTCACAGTATCAACTTCACTCTTTAACCCACATGGTGTATCATTTTTCAGGTTTCTTTACCTGTTTCCAAAAATAATTACCATTTTTGGTTATAGAAATACTGACTTTGGGACTGTGTCCAGCTGTATGAGTCTATTGTATAGAATATTATTCAGTACTTCTGATGCATGCTGGTTAGCAGTACTGCAGTGTAATGAATTTGATCCTTATCAGGTTCTCCTCAATTATAGCCTTGTGACATACTAAGATAAACTTAGTAAATATCTATCAAAAGAGACAGGAGAGAAGGATCATTTCCTGGTAATTATAAAATTATTTATTATTATGTGATCTCAGGTAATTTTCATTTGATATCTGCAATTTACTGAATCAGCCTAAATAAGGATGGGGTTACTGTAGATGCATCCATTGCTGCTATAACAACAGTACCTCCGGTGCATGTATGATTCCAATAGGTTATAAGACTTGATTGAATGAATAGTCAAAGTAAAAAGTTTTTTTCTTAGAATTGCTACTTAGAGCAAAAGACTCCCAGGAATTGCTGCTTGGTGCAACAGACTCCCAGGAATTGCTGCTTGGTGCAACAGACTCCCAGGAATTGCTGCTTGGTGCAACAGTTAATATGAATTGATCCTTGGTGCAACAGACTCATGAATTGATCCTTGGTGCAACAGACTCCTTTTAATTGATCCTTGGTGCAACAGACTCCCACGAATTGATCCTTGGTGCAACAGACTCCCACGAATTGATCCTTGGTGCAACAGACTCCCACGAATTGATCCTTGGTGCAACAGACTCCCACGAATTGATCCTTGGTGCAACAGACTCCCATTAATTGCTACTTGGTGCAACAGACATTTTCCCAAACACTACAATGTTAACATCTCCAAGTCTAGAATCATTTGTTTTCTATTTCCCATAATCTTCACTTCCTAGTTTCTCTACTTACGTTCAAATCACATATCACATTCAATAAACCTCTACCTTGAGTTACTTTTCGGTTTGTACTGGTTCAATTTTTTAAAAAATTCCATATTCTTTTATATATTTTTACTATATGCTTATATTTCAATGGGTTAAGTATCTCAGTAGGAATCTACCAACCCAGTCACAAAACATAAGGATAAATCATCATAATATCTGTCATGCCCACTCATAGCTCTCCACAACTTCCTATCCTTTGTAACTTTTATTAAGGTTTGATTTTATCCACCCTCATACTACCTATTCTGCCATCAATTTACACAATTTTTTTTTAGATGTGTTACTTACTTTAGCTCTCTGCACCTCTTACCTCCAGTATTTGATGTGAGTGTCAAATTCTCCAAGCCTTCCTTCATTATTATTTCTTCTAGAAATTTCAACCTTTTCTGATTCTAAATATAAATGTCCTTTTTGTTTCCATTTTTCCTTAAACTTCCTCATTAATGTTTAGTCCACAGAATTCTCAATAACCTTCTGTTGCTATGTCTCTTCTTCATCTGTGAGGAGATTTTTGAGCACTCATCTTTGTTTCTAATGAAACATTTCTTAATTAGCCCAGAATTCTTTATTGGATAAAAAATGTGAAATAATACAAAATATACAAAAAATATCTTCAATATCTGCACAGTTAGGATAAAAGTTGATTTGTTTTGCACAGAAGTAAACAAATAAGTGCCATTTATATGAGATGGCCTAAATTTTGGACTTTCAAACCATGTTGCAAGTTTTGTGTTTTAAAATGGATCACTAATGCAGTGTCTCATACTAAGAGAAAAGTGATAAAAATATTTCTTTATCAAGTTATGACATTTTTAGACACTGGCAACAAGGAAGTGTCACAAATCCCATGAT